GAAACTCTCAGACTGAAGAAGTCTCTTGGAAGAGAGACGAAACATTTCATTAAAGAAGAACCCGTCCAGAGGACCTATACAATTTTTTTCCTTTTTACTTTATTTAACATTTAAAACAAAGTTTTTTTCCACAAAATTGACAGAGATTGACCCTCAGTTTGGAGCAAGTTTTGATATTTTCATCTTTGTGCGAGTTTGTCCTGTTGGACCCAGTTCGGTCACAAACTCTTTAAACTAGTTAGAACTTCATAACCTTTTCCAAACTATGACTATAGAGATATTTGTAACATTCAGCTCATTAAGGTCTTATGATGTCAACAAGATGCATCAGCCATGGCAACATGTTTGCAGGAGAACATTAGAGAATAAGCGTTTGAATATTTAATGTGTCCAAATGAGTTATCAAGAGACAGGTAGAATGTGAGTCTTTCACATGGTCTTTCTTTTTTTTTATTACCAAACTAAAACATTTTTTCATAACACTACAACTCATTATTTGGAAAGTCCAGCAGAACGCCCAAGTTTTACATTGCAGACTTATTTGGCTTAAAGGAAAATAACTCGGCCCTGCGATAGACTTGCGACCTGTCCAGGGTGTACCCCGCCCCTCGCACTGTGACTGCTGGATATGGGCACCAGTGACCCACGCGACCCTGAAAAGGAAGAAGCGTGTACAGAAAATGGATGGATGGATGGATGGAAAATAACTCTTGGTTCTGTGAAAAGCGCACTTTAAATGCTGGAAAATACATAGTTTTGTGTACATTAAAAAACCTGGGGGTATACTGTACTTCTAGATTACTTTGTGCTGCTGCTCAGTAAATGTTGACAGCTGCTATTTAGAGGAAGAGATATATTTAAATCAGTTTTAGACACATGAAGCTGAAAATTTAGCCGAAAATAATCTTCAACATATTCTGAATGCAAATTAAAAAAAATTCAAAATGGCCACCAAAGCTAAGTTTAAATGGCTATAACACAGCTACTTTTAAATGTAATTAATTAGAAATTTGTTGTGGTGGGAGCTGCCCTCACCAATGTATCAGTACAGTCAAAACATACATTTACGTAAATTATCAACAGGACAGCATAGCAATTCTCGTCCATTTCTGAAGGAACTTTTCTACTTGCTCCATGCCACTGCTATGTTACAGACTTGCCACTAGATGTTGCCCAATTTTCATTAGCTGGTTCTTAAACCCAGGAAATTATTACTTTGTATTAATTCAGTGGTTCATAAAGGTTTGTTTTTTTATCGTTTGTTTCCTTTTAAACACTTCACAATAATAGGGTCTCTCTATACTGGATAATACAGCTGCTTGAAAAAATATTTTTCCTTTTTTGCTCAAACTGTCTACGTTTAAAATCTCACCCCCCTCATTTTCAACTCCACTCGTTGGGTTTCTGGGGTGCAGGTGCATTGCAAAGAGCAACAGTTTTACATCCCTCTTTGTAGTAACCACCTGAGCCCCAATTTTATTATGCACTCCAGACATTCAATTACAACATCCTCAGGACATTCACATATAGGAACTTGGGGTGGGCACTCTATGGCAGGCAAGCAGCGAGAGGGGATCCCTCTCGCCATTTGCGCCTGTGTCCACCCCCAAAGGTTGCTTGTAGACGTTTAGGGTTTTTTTTTTTTTTTGGGTTGGAGTTGGGGTGGAGGGAAAACTGGATCATTGCTGGCCTCTGCCCCTTTTTCTTACCCATTTTAATTGTGCTTTAGAACAACATGCATCAACAGCACATCTGGGGGTGGGGGTGTTCTTTGCTTTTTTTTTTTTCTCTTGACCTCCCCCACTTTCCGATTGCCATTTGGGGGTGGGGTTCAGAGAAGGGGCAGACCGTCTGGTGGGGGCCTGGGCTATGGATGGACTTGGGGGCCAGGGGTGGTCCCTGGCGGTCTATCTTCCCCGGGGTTGTTCGGACTCTCGGATTGTGGTCCTTGGTTGCCATGGTTGGCCCGCTGGCTGGRGTAACTACCAGGGCGTAGCTGGTGGTCGGTTGGGGGTGTGCGCTTGGCTGTTGGCGGTGTGTGGGGGTGGTCGGGGGTGTTTCTTTGCTGTGGTGGAGGGCCGGCCAACTGGCCTGGTGCAGCCCKGGCCGGGCCTTGGCTGTCTGCTCTTCTCCACCCCAGAATGAATGGGCTTAACTCCTGGGTTCAGATGTGACCTGCCCTCTGTAGGGGCCGGGTACGTGTCATGGACCTGGGGGGTATAGAGTGTGCATCGGGAGTATGAGTGGGGTGTGGCGTTCATCTTGTTTGTCTTTGAATGAGTGGGTGTGAGAATCGGGGGAGGGGGGGACTGTGTGATTGTGTCTGTGTATGATTGGGTATTTGCCAGATTGGGACTCGGGCTGCCCTCTCATCTGGTTCACCTGAGGGCCCACTGCTAGTGGTGGGCTCTGCCCCTGGCCACACTGCCCTCTGGTGGGGTGTGCCTCTGCCTGCCGATGCGCTGGTGGCTCTCAGTGTCTGGGCCTGGGTGCTTGGGCATGTGCTGGCTCAGCCTGGTGGGGCTTGGGTCTTCTGGCCCTGTTGGGCCTTGGCCTGGGGTGGGGGGTGCGCCCTGGGGATTCGGGTCTCTGTGTCCATGCCTAGATTTGCTCCGGCGTGGCGGGAGCCGGTGGGGCCTGCGAGGTTGTTGGTGTTCGCCCTGTGGGTTCTGCTTGTGGTTGCTGGTGGGGCTCTCCTGGTTCTGTCCTTTGTTCCTCTCTGGGGGGTGGGTGGGCAGTTCTTGCTGCGCGGGTGGCCTTGGGAGTTCGATGCTTGGGGTCTCTCTCGGTTTCTGTGGCTCTGGTCCCCCTTATGTTTGTCTTTGGTCTTGGGGGTCAGGTCTGTGGTCCTCCACAGTCACTATTAACACTGGAAAAATCTTGTATTTATATGCATGCTCACAACTGCACAAAAATAGGCGTTCGGATCCTGGTGTTTCTGACGTTCACTGAATGTATATGTGTGTATGTATATGTGTGTGTGTGTATGTATGCATATTTTTAGGTGTGTAAAGATATACTGTATATATGTGTGTTCGTATGTGTGTGTGTATATGTATGTGTAATACTTAGCGAGGTCGTAATTATTGTACGTATGTGTGGATGTGTATAGTGTATATATGTACTGTAAATGTGCGTGTGGGTCTATCTGCATACATATGTTTACGTTTGGTTGCTGGGTGTTCATTTTCTTTACTCTCTGATGGTCAGATGTCGGGTGTGTTGTCTTGTGTGTTATTGGTGTACATTTCACATGCCGTTGAATTTCCATCAGCTTCTATCTTAACATTTCTTACATTTCTCTTCTTCTTCTTTACATATAGTATATATAAGAGTCACTGATGATGAAGAAATTAAGAAACTAACATTCAGTTCTGTTTTCTACTAAAGTGGCTAAAAAAATCTCACCTGTCAATCATTTGGCGGTGACCAATCAGGTGCCAGGGAGGGCATTTGCCAACCTGTCAACCCCTCTGGCTCCACCCCTGGTTGGCATGCATGTATATGATTTACTAAAACACCACATTTAATTGTATCAACCCACACAGAACATAAAAAATGCAAAATACAAATTTGTCACACATTATCCTTGACTGTGTTTTATTCTCAAGTGGCACCTATCATCATCATTCCCTTTACGCATTAGTAACAAAATGGCAACATGCTTTAGAGAAAAATGTAATAAACATACAATTTTAATAATTATTTAAGTTATTAGATGTTTATGTGCAACAACCCTTAGTAAAACAGAGTAATAAAAACATATTAAGGCCAACACGTGCATGTAGCTGGAGATCCCTTTAACAACTTGTTCATGATTTATTTATCTACATTTTTGCATCTTATTTTGTGCAGAGTAAAAAAAAAATGTTTAAGCCCTTGCGTATACACCATTTCTTTCTTCAAGGATAATTAAGCCTTCAGCACCCAAAAGTTGCAGCCAATAGGTTTCCTAATACCTTTCTAATTTTAAGCCTGTGTGCAGAGGCAACATATAGAATTTTTGGTCACTAATGTGTAGAAATAACCATTCTTGGAGGTCAGAGTTTTGGATGTTTTATTAATATTACATCACCACAAATCTTAAAAATTGTCCCGTAGCTTTACAATCTGTACAGAATTAGAAGCCTTCTGTCCTCAGGCTCCCGCTTTGGATCAAGAACCCTTAGTGGGAGAAACATAAAGTAGATCGTCCCTCTTCCAGGACAGACAGAAATAAAACAGTCATGAAAAAACATTTACAGTATAAACACAGAATGACAATAATATAGGTTGTAAACATTTCAAGGAACCTTACGTAGCAAGATAAGATTTGTACCACTGATTGCCTTTTCTCCCTTTTTTACAACAAACTTGTCATTTATCAGCTGGTAAGTCGACAGCAGATTTTAGGAAGTTAGCGTAGAAAAAGAAAACCTCAACAAAGTTCTGAAACTTGAGTAAAAAAATAGGATTCTGTGATATATTTCTTTTACTATGACATCTCAAAACTTGTGCTAGACCCCGTCAAATGTGGCAGTGAGAAATAAACTGAAAAAAAAAAGGGAATTATCTTTTCGTAAAATATGCAAGCAATGCTGGCATTGTAGGCCACACACTGCAGCAAATAGAGCTCTTGTGAAACACCCATCTTACTCGTTCTTGACTGACTGCATTGGAAAATCGGATATGAATATCTTTTTGCATATTCGAAAGGTTTTCAAACTTTCATTTTTTACATCTTTTAGACAATGCAAACTTGACCCAAATTTAAGGGAATTTGTGTTTGGTTGAATAATTCATTGCTGTAGCAGCGCTTCTCGATAATAAATCTTATACTGTTGGAAAGCTTGTTTATTTCTCCTTAAATGGTGTCACATTTGTTAGGAAAAAGCATTTGTGGCTTGAGCAGCGGAGCTGAGTATGTGGGTTGCACCCATGTGAAACTTGCCAAACTCTCTCTGTCAGTACCAAACAGCTCCTTCTGCTATTTTACGAATGGCTTTTTGTTTTTTCTTTTAAAAGCTCACAACCTATTTTTCCGTCTCTTTTTGATGCCACACTTCCTGATCTCAGACAAATGTGGACAGGGGTCACCAAAGATACTTGGGGAGAGGAGGACTTGTCTGGTGCGGGTTTCCTCTCCCCTCCTGTGGACCGACCTGGCCCTTTTCCGAACACAAGGACCCCAACTTGTCCACTCTCCAACCTGACAGTGAACTTGAGAACCCATATAACAGTGAGAGAAAGGCACTTGTTGAAATAGAGGAATAAAAATCAGAGAAGTACGTTTTTTTCTCACTTTGGTGGACGCACTCCATTAGCTGCATATTAGGCTCGAAGCCTTTAGGACAGGTGTGGTGACACTGGCCTTGGTGGTGGTACATGTTTGCCCTACACCTCGTGCACACGTTCTTCCTTGTGCACAGCTCACAGCCTGCAGGACACTCTGACACAGACAGATAAAAATGTAGGATGATGTAAAAAAAAAAAAGGAAAGAAAAGAAATCTCAATTACGTGGATTGTGGGAAATGGCAGCTTACCGATACATTCTCGCAGAGCTTCGTTTGCTGTCAGCCTGTTTGGACAGCTGGTTTCGCATTTGCCTCGAAACAGGAAGTGACCCGGATGACAGCGTGTGCAGAAGTTTTCGCTGAAGCAGGAAGCGCAGTCTGCGTTGCACTCTGCAGGTTCACAGAAATGAAGAGGGACCATAGTGTCAGGATCAGAAGTTTCCATACACCAACATATCTGCCACTGTAATCCTGGACTTCAAAGGATTTTATCATATCAACTGTGGGACATTTGTAAAGGAAAAAAACAACAAGAATATGGCCAACATGTTTTTGCTTAGAAGTTTCTAAAATCAACCCGTATTTATTATCATATAAAGTTCAATGGTTAATCTAAAGCTGTTTGAACCAGTTTCACTGTAGACGGTCTTATTACGCCACAACTGACTGAGATAATATTACGCGAGCAGTTCATATTCCAAAAATGTTATGATTGTCTGAGAAACAAGTTGTTTATAAAAATGACAATGTATGTTAGGAGCAGAGGTCCTTGTTGTTCGGATTCACACTTGTGCGGCACAAACTTCTTGACACGTTGAGTTTGTCATTGGTTTGTTTGGATCAGGTGTGTTTGACACTTACAGGACCGGGGGTCTCCAAGGACTATGGTTGTAATAACCAAGCTTTCAACCCCAGAAACACACTTTAAAGGTTCAGCATAGTGGTAGCATCATTCTACGGGGCTTCTTTGATGGTTCTGAAACTGAGCTTTTGCTTTATATATA